TACATGGGTGAGTACATGTAGCACTTCCCTTGTAGAATTCACCTAACAGTAAGATGTGTGGTAAACTTCAGGTGAAAAATTTATGGTGATTAAAAATTAATTTGGCAATTAATTAAGCAAAGGATAGTGAAGACTGAAGTGTAATAATGGTTAGTTTTATCTAATAAGAAATAATTAAAACGCCGTAGAACATAATCCAAGCTGACACAAGTTTTGATTGACCACTTCAAGACTAAAAAACAAGATTCTCCCTCGTGATCGAACAAGATAACTTCATGAATTTAATGCATAATCTTCTCTCCCTTTCTGGGTTCTTAAAACAATAATCATTTTAATTTATTATGACTTGTGAAACTCTGAAATTAAATAATTTCATATATGATGACAAGAAAGTACATTCTTGCATATATCCTCAAGAAATAAACATAAATGCTTGAACAAACAACCAAAAATTGCATATGTCCAATATCGAGTAGAATGTAGGAACTTCGACTAACAAAAAAACATAAATGGAGTCTAAAAGTTAAAAAACAAGCAGCTAGTATAAGATACGTAATTTCGATTGTTTAGCAATTCTTTGAACACATCAAATACATACAACTCGTAGTATAAAAAAAATGCATACACACACAACGATTATGGTCATTTTTTAGATTAGGGGATCCATTTTAAAATGTCAACCTTATTAAACCTTATATGTTAATTTATATTTTTCATCTTTATTCTATGTGAAATGTTATTCTTTAACATGCCCCACAAAATGGTGGCTCGTTTGAGCAAATCAATTTTGAAATTTGCATGATCATTTTTTTGAGTTTTAATCTGACCGAACTGCTCGTTGGAGATTAATGAGCTCTGATATTATATTAAAACTTGAAGTTTCATTTTAAAATGTCAATCTTATTAAGAAGTGTAGCACAAATCCTTATAAGTTGAACTATATTTTTCATCTTTACTTGATATGTGATTTTATGTTTTAACAATCATAATTGAATGTGAACTCTTCTGTACGTGCATGGAGAAAATGTAAAAGACAATATTATAAGGGGTGTGGAAAAGATGTTTACGAGATTGAAAGAAATTGTTGCGGTAGAGAGAATATAAGAAAAAGTATATAAAGCAAAGGGGACTTGTTAGAGTAGGTGAAACATGAAACCAACTTTAATGTGTACTAAAAGATAGATTCAATCACATTAGAAGATTGGAATGCCATCACTCTTTCCTTTATCATATTCCCTGACCATTTATCACCATCACACAAAGTCTCCTCCAATTCAACACTGCATTTCACTTTCTAGGTATTCCCAATTTTTAAAGTTCCATTTCAAGTTTGAAATTTTGTATCTGTGTCTAGATGTGTAAACCAAGTCGCACGACCCTGTTTTGAGGTGTTCCATGTAGAGACACCCTCGACCTGATGCTTCTTGTGCTGGCCAAAGCCTACAAAGCTATACATTTTTTGCATAAGCTGATTACGTAGATTTTTTTCTTCTCTAAAAATATTTTTCGTGTGAGCCTAGTAAAAGGCATGCTCTGCTGATGCTTGGGCTACCAGACACATTTTGACGCCCCTAATCAACTCGTAGGTAAATTTCCACTCTGCTACACGTAAAAAACTTTTAAAACTGCACAAATCTGAATGAATTATCGAGGTGGAATTGATAAACCCAATTGACACTTCATATAGAATATATCGAATCACAATTTTACATGTTCGAGAAGGTGAATCACTATATACGTATGATAGTAATTTATGTATTCTAAATTTGGAGTTACTTAACTGGAATTAAAGATGATATCATATATACGACAAGGCAAAGTATTAGTTTAGGATTGCAAAGCTGTGAAGATCCCCTAAATCCTCTTTCCTTTGAAATGCAAGATGGAGGCCAAACATAACAAGAATAAGTTGTAATGACTCTTTTAGCTTTTGGGAACTTTGCCATTGAGAGAAAGTAACATTAATCATTGGAAACCTTAATGACTTCACCTAATTAATCATTAGCACATGGAAAGCTGGTTATAAAAGGCTTTAGTGATATAAGCCAATTGTTTTCATTATACGATGATGCATTTGCATATATATATTTCTTATACGTGACGGAAAGATTTAGCAAATAAATGGTGACAAGAAACTAACGTTAGCAGTTTCATCATCCCCACCACATTCAACCTACGTTAGTAGAGTTGTAATTCATAGCGTCTATTTTAATAATTTCATATTGGTTAAAGATAAAGTTAATGGCCATTATAAAGGTTTGGAGTATGTAAATATTGACATTTTAAGATGAAACTTCAAAACCAATATAGTATAAGTGTTAGTTCGATGCCGTTCAAGTAATATTTTATAAACGACATCATGAATTAATATTCAATTATTCGCATGTTTCAATTTTGTAACAATAATCTAAAATTCCATGATCATATATGTAACGACCCGGCCTCTCACCGGAGCCGTTATCTTACGTACTGTCCGCTTCGGGAGAGCTTAGGCCCATCTTACCCCTCACGGCTTTCTGACATTCCCCCAAGATTCGAACCCA